ATCACCTTATTTTTCCCTAACACAAATTTTCAAGAACCTTTGGTTTTGAAATAATGCCTTTTGAAAGTTTCTCATGTTTTTCACGACACTCATGATTTTTCATGTTGAATTTTCTTACCATGTTTCTCTTCGAGTGCTGGGCTCAGCAGCTGAGAAGAAAATTTTGAGCCTGGGGGCCTTCATACACGCGGCATCCTAGCAGGCTCTGGGGGCTAACGCAAAGGCTTTTTCCTTCCGCGTGCTCCCATGTCGGATGAGCATCCTGGCTCTAGTGCTGTCTCTGGCTCAGATCTGCCACAGCCGACGCCGCTTACTCCGGAGGAAGCTTTGACTCTTTCGTCGGTGCCAGACTTGCGAGCCAGGGTGGATCGGCTTCTTGAGGATGTGGCATTGGTTGCTCAGGGACAGCAGATGATCAGCCAGAGCCTCACCGAGCTTCGCGATCAGTTGCAGAGTCTCATGGTCCGGATGACTGATTCTGAGGACGCACACTTGCTTTTGAAAACGGTGGTCAGAGATCATGCTGGCTCCTTGCAAAGGCTCAACGACCGTTTGTTCTCGACTATCCAGGATGTTACGAGGCTTTCCGAGCGGGAGCCGGGCCGTGCTCGCAGCCGGTCTCCCAGGACTCCTCCCTGAAAACTTGCCTGGCTAGTGTTGGTCAGAGACCCAGCAGCTCGCTCTCATAGGATCGAGCCGTTCCCTTTTGCTGTGCAGAGCCGCAAGCTTTAGCTGACATGATCTTCAGGCTGCTTCGCATGCTTGCACTTGTTTTGCATTTTAAGACCAGGCATCCTTGAAGGTGGCGTGGTGTACAGGTGCTCGAAGTTCTGACTGTGGCAGTACCTCCTGCTGATCAAAACTTTTTCTTGCAGTGCGGTGAGCCATGTTCATGCCTCTCTCTCTCTGCAGCAGTGCGCTACATTCATGCCTCTCTCTCTTTGCAGCACTGTCCGAGATGTTGTGATGCGTGGCTGTACTTTCTGTCCGAGCAAAAGCTGTTGCCATGTCTGCCAGTGCCTCGGGGACAGAAGAGTCTTC